ATTTTTTTGGAGAATGTGTAATTAAAAAGTAGAAACAAAAGTTGAATTTACGTACAAAATATTTTATTATGAGAATGTATGGTTAAAAATGAGTTTGAGGGGAAATAAAGTTTTGTTTTAATGATCATCAAACATGAATTAAATGTTAATGGTTAACATACTAAAAATATCTCCAAAGGACTCTTTAAAAGTGAAATTCATTTATGTTTCAAAAGATCCTTCAAGTTAACATTTTAAAATAAAAAATGATTTTGACTCTCCAAATTCAATCTCTATGATTAAATGTATTCAAAATATTTTAATAGTACAAAATGTTCATGCCTTTCATTTTTTTTTTTCACTCTTGATTACATATTTGATTGTGTAATACGTCATTTTGTCTACTTTCATCCAACTTCTTTATTAAGTGTAGTCAAATTAACTCTGAGGGGGTAGTTCAATAGTTAAGTCTTGAGTTTGCTCTCCAACAGTTATCGGTTCGAGCCTCCTCAAGGCCACTGAAGTGAGTACTCAGTTGTAAACTTCAGGGTCCCATGAAATTAGTAGAAGTGCGCGTAAACTGACCCGAATACCCACGGTCATATATAAAAAAATAAATAAATAAGTAGTCAATTTTTTAAAAAAAAAAAATTTAGGTGAAGGGTATTCTTAGAAAAAATTTCCTCCTCCTTCCTCATTTGAACACATTGTCCCCTCTGCTCTTTTCAAGGTGAAATGGAATATCCGTATTCATTCCCATTTTAACCTGATATTGGATTAATTTTTGATCGAGTATTTCGTTTTTGCTCATTTTATCATGTGTTCCATATTCATTTGCTGCTGAGTGGTTGATCAGAGCGTCTTTGATGCGGGAAGCGCTCGAGACAGTAAAGGACGGTCATCACAGATTCACAGCTATATTCCTCCTGCACAATTTATAAAATTCAAGTCTTTACGTAGAGAATCTTCATATTTCAAATCGCCAAAACCTAGAGCAAACCTACCTCATCACTATTCTAACGAACTAATTCTTATTCCAAAATAACCACTCACTTCATATCTCCCGATGGACGAAGATTGTAGTAAGCGTCACCAAATAGCCCATCTATCTGCCCCAATATTCCATCAAATATGCTACATGATCAAGTTCAATAATAGAATTTAAAATAAGGAGACACGTGTCATTTTTTCATTTGATAGTTAAAAACACACAAAAAAACAGCAGACAAGTGCCTGTGCTGCCACATATCACCTTGAAGCCCATTTTTTAAAGCTCATATCTTTCCCGTTAAAGAAATCGAAGTTCAATTTTTTGTCAACGAAAAGCTTCAATTCTTCAAAAGCCACATAATTCAAGAATAGGGATCTGATAAATGAAGCCAAAAATGTTAACCCTAATGAAGAAACTAAATGTTATTTTTCAGAGAAAAAAAGGAGACAATGTGTTTAAATGAGGAAGAAAGAGAAAAATTGTTATAAGATGAGAATACCCTTCCCTTTTGAATAAAAATTTGACTATGCTTAAAAAGGTTGAACTCCAACCTTAAGAGCCCCCCACCGACTCTGTCCTAGGCCATCGTGGAGGAGGTAAATCGCAGAATGTGCCTCCCAGGAGTCAGGGTGGAGAGCACATAGATAGATGGAATAACGGTTTAGTATTTTACACAATCAAATGTGTAATTAAAGGTAAAAATGTTAAAAAAAATGGAAAGTAAGTGCATTTTGTACAATAAAAATGAAAGGTAAGAACGTTAGGTGCTAATTACCCCCATTCAAATTTTCAATGCTCCATATATTGATTCAATTAAATGGTGTATACAAAGAAAATGGAGAAATTAATATCATAATTTGGAGATAAACTTGTACAAATAAAAGATAGAAAAAAAATATATAATGAAATTCAGTGTTAAAGAGATGTTGAAATATTTAAAAAGTTGTACTCTCCAAATTAATAAATGCTCTTAACTTATAAAATATAAACTTTAAAAATAGAAAATTTCTAGAATAAGCTTAACACTTTCTTTCTTTTGAAGGGTTAAATTGAGTCTTACCGAACATCATGGTACCAGTAGTTGAATTAGTACGTCCATTTTGTAGATGCTCAGCAACGGCAAATTGAAATCCTACGGAGGGTCAAGTTCTTCTTTTCTCGTTCTGACGTGTGTCTTCCTACCAATGTCCATATTATCACCTCCATTATCTCATAATTCACCCTTGCTAGTCCAATCAAACTACGCAAATGCCATCGTAATTTTAAATTGGTATAATTGGTACAAAACGTCCTTATTTTTCAATGTTATTGTGAAATATTCCTACCTTTCATTTTTTGACGTTTTTACCATTATCTTCACTTTTTATTGTGAAAATCATCATTTTCATCAAATTTCTTATGTAAAATGACAAATATACCACATATTTAAATAAACAATAAAAAAAGAAGAAAACTTAAATAATAAATTGCAATCATACTCTCAAACTCTTTTAAAAAGTGCAAATGAATCCAAATAAATTATTAAAAGGTTAATTAGCACAAAACGTCCATACTTTTCGTCATTATTGTGTAAAACGTTCCTAAATTTCATTTTTTGACATTTTCACCCTTATTTTTATATTTCATTGCAAAAATCATTATTTTCATCAATTTTCTCAATTAAAAGATGTAAAATGACAAATATATATTCCTTTCTAAATAAACAAAAATAAAAAATAAATTGCAACTATACTTCCAAAATTTTCAAAAAAAAAATTATAAATAAATAATTAAAAAACAAAAATTACTCTATTTTTCTTATTATTTATTTGTATTTTTTTATAGTTGCAATTTGTTTTTTAGTTCTCTTTATTTTTTTATTTTTGTTTATCTAAAAACGAGTGTATAGTTGTTATTTTACATCTTTTAATTGAGAAAATGGATTAAAATAAGAATTTTCATAATGAAATATGAAATAAGAGTGACATGTCAAAAAATGAAAAATATGGACGTTTTACACAATAATAATTAAAGGTAGTGGCACTTTGTGCTAATTACCTTTTTAATAATTTATTTGAACTCATTTGCACTTTTAAAAAAAATTGGAGTATGATTGCAGTTTATTCTTTAACTTTTCTTTTTTTTATTATTTTATTTAAATATGGGATATATTTATCATTTTACATGATAAATTTGATAAAAATGACGATTTTCGCAATAAAATGTGAATGTAAAAGTAAAAGTGCCAAAAAATGAAAGATATGAATGTGTTGTATAATAATATTGAAAGATAAGGGCGTTTTGTACTAAGCAACTTTTTAAATTTATGACTCTTTTTGAGAATTAGACTCTCCTGCTCGCAAGTTGCTACATGCGCGATTGCCTTCAAACCGAAAATAGTTTTTAAATTTTTAATGCGTTGATTGAGGATAATGCTATAGGAAATTTGATTTGATGTGCTTTGGTTTCCAATCCATTACCTATGTACTTGGTTCTTCAAAATTTTTATTGATGTATGGATAATTTACATGATAAAAATATGTAAGTTTTAGTTAAATATTTACGGGCAAAAATATGAAATAATTCTAGTAGAAAATGAATAATTGATAAGGAAGACGTAACCATATTGTTTAAAGAGTTTTGTTATTTGTATTCATAGTTTGACACTCCGAATTACCTGATGTGAGTGAGGGGGTTGGGCCCCTCACATTTATTGGCATGGGGCCCTCGACTCCATGTGAATAGCAGGTAATTCGGAGTGTCAAATTCCAAGTACCTGTAACAAAACTCTTGCTCAAAAGGCTAACTGAAAGGAAGGTACAATCCATTATTTATCACCCAGAATCAGATTTGAGAATCCATCCGTGCAATTACTCAAATGTCTAATGATTTTGTAATTACTTTTCTTTTTCTTTTAATTTAATTCTTGCTTCTCTGTTTAAAATGAACAATATAAGCTCATATTTGGTAAAATTTTGGTAAATTTATTTTTTACTAAACACATTTTTAACTCCATGAATTAGCGTGTCCCGTCTTTTCAACATAGAACGTGAAGGCTCAAAAGCTGAATCATCATAGCAATACATTCTCGTAATAAAATAATTTGCATGTAAAACTATAACATTTCCTATTATTAATCACACATTCTTAAAAAAAATAATAATAAATAAAATAAAACTCCACAAAATCTATTCTAAAAAATTTATAACAAACTGGCCTTAATATTCTGGAAGGGAAGTGAACACGTAGTGGATGGGATGAAATCGTTACATTCTTAGTTTTTTTTTTTTTTTCAATTTAGTCCATGTTTGATGGAGATTAAAATTAAATTTTTGGTAGATTTTGATAAAAGTAGATAAAATACGTGGTTGAAAAGTTGTTAATTCCATGAAATATGCAATTAAAATTATTTGTTGAATTTGACTTTAATTAAAATCTGAATTTTAATTCCTACTAAGCATGAACTTATTTTCATAAAAAAAAATTGTGGAAGCAAGTTGCAATACAACGGTGTAAGAGTATCTCCAAGAGACTCTATTTTTTAAGAGTATTTTCTATTATTTGGAGAGCACCTATAAATCTAGAGAGTTAAAATTTTGAATAATCTAACATACTCTTTATATTTAACACTTAATTTTACTACTCTAAAAAATATTTATATTTTTTTCTATATTTTATTTCAACTAGTTTTTCTTTATATTATTTTATTATTTTTCTACATTAAAAATTGAAACACTTTAAATTCATTTAATTATATAGAGTTTCGAGAGTCAAGTTCACTCTCTAAATCAAAGTGTTAATTTAAAAAATTTATTGGAGCATGAATTTAAATGATGATTATCTAAGATAGAGATTACTGTTTAAAGAGTATTGAATATCCTCTAATAACTCTACCCATTGTCAGAAAGTAAGAGCCAAGAATTTGCAAATAAAATAACAATTGAAAAAAGAAAGAGAGAAATGGCAATCTTGTGAAATTTCTAAAGGTCAGCCCCATTTTACTAAAGCTATTCAGTTCATTTATTTATAACTCAAATGTGAAATTTATGTTCCATCCTCCTCTCCTATTTAAACCACCATCTCAAAAGAAGTCCAGAGACATAACATGTGGTCTACATGAACCCACCAATCCACCAATTCAAAGCCTTTCACCCCCTTGGAACCAACGTTCATGGCGGCCGGAATTTCAGTCGCTGGTTGTTCTTCAAGAACCATTCTTTTCAAGCACAACCCAATTCTCGGCCTGAAGCCCACTAAACTATTCTCTCCCTCCATTCAGAATCTTGATAAGATTTTGAGTTGTAAATGGAAGAATAACTTGACTGTTTGTTTTGTGTTGGAGGATGAGAAATTGGAATCGAGTGGAGAATTGGAGAGGAACCCAATTGCAGAGGAGATTGAGAGAGAATTATCTGCAGCCCGACTGGCTGAGAAATTCGCTAAGAAGAAATCAGAGAGATTTACTTATCTCGTCGCTGCTGTTATGTCCAGTTTTGGGATTACTTCTATGGCTGTCATTGCTGTTTATTACAGATTTTCCTGGCAAATGGAGGTAAAATTCTCTTCTTTCTGCTAAAAATCACCCCTTGCCTCGTTTGATGAGGTAGATTGCACACTACCAAACCATATAAAAATTTGATTCTTCATCCTTTCTTTAATACTGTCCAATACGAAATTGAATTTCGTGTTGTGTAGGGTGGGGAGGTGCCTTATGCAGAAATGTTTAGTACATTTGCTTTAGCAGTGGGGGCTGCTGTAAGTTCCACAACTTCAAAATCAACCGCTTTTAATTGCAGAAATTTTATTGTGGGGTATAATGAAAATTTAAAATTTCTGGTGTAATCGAATTTCAGGTAGGTATGGAATTTTGGGCAAGATGGGCTCACAGAGCTCTCTGGCACGCATCCTTGTGGCACATGCACGAGGTTTGTTTTCGATTTTTTTTTTCCCCATAAACTATTGAATTATTAATCCATTGAAAAAGGGAAAAGAGTCGAGCAGGAGCGATTAGAGATTATTTTTGTTACAATGATTTGAGTCAGAGTGATTGAACTCTCACTGGTCCTTACAAATTTGTTGAGCAATTTATTGTTATTTTTGATCAAGAGAATTTGATTGGGCAGTCTGTCAATTTTATTGTTATTAATTTTCTATTTTTAATGTTGTAATGACAGTCGCACCATAGACCAAGAGAAGGCCCTTTCGAGCTCAACGACATTTTTGCCATAATCAATGCTGTTCCGGCCATAGCCCTCCTCTCCTATGGTTTTTTCCACAAAGGCCTTGTTCCTGGCCTATGCTTCGGAGCTGTAAGTATGTTTCGTTATGTGATTCTAATGCTTTTCTTTCAGATTTTTTTTCAATATATTATTGAATTTTTTGCAGGGTCTTGGAATTACGGTTTTTGGCATGGCCTACATGTTCGTCCATGATGGTCTTGTTCACAAGAGATTCCCCGTGGGGCCCATTGCAAATGTACCATATTTTAGAAGCGTTGCTGCAGCTCATCAAGTATGATAGTGTGGACTTGTACATTATAATTTAATCAATCACAATTAATTAGTATATAACTCATATTATCTGTTTAATTTTCTTAATTATTATTATTATTATTTATAACAGAATCTAACCGCCACGGTCTAATTTGATTTTGATGTCTGCCATTTCAGCTTCATCACTCGGACAAATTCGAAGGTGTCCCATATGGACTGTTCCTAGGACCTAAGGTAGTCCAAAATCCCTCTATATCTGCATAACTATAGATAGACACCACTTCAAATTTCTATTATTTGTTTGAATAATAGAGTAATCTTATATCGGCGGTGTTCAATCATAATTTACGTATAATGAAGGTTCCACTGTCTAACTGCAATGGAACGTAACTGTAGGTGGGATCCATAGTCACAACAACAATTTAGGTGGTGTTTGGTGACAACATCGTACAGATATTGAACAATTATACTGCCACTGACTATAGTTAAATAACGCTGCTTATATATATAGCATTATTCTATAAACAAAATTGTTCCTTTCGCCATTTCTGCTTTTTAGGTCAACCTTGTTGAAGAGTGGTCCGAACCCTTTGTCATAATATTCAAGTAATGTAGTAATAACATGACTTTTTCGAGATTTGTATAATTTATTTATGGCAAAAATCAATCATTCTTGTTGGTGTGAATGTAGGAAATTGAAGAAGTTGGAGGGCTTGAAGAATTGGAAAAAGAAACGAGCAGAAGAAATAAATTTTCTAAGAATTCATGATGTTTTGTGGGACACATGTTGAAAAATTATTAGAATGAAGAAAATTAGCGGGAAAGTAATGAAATTGTTTTGATTTAATCTTCTTCTTGTGAAACGAAAAATTGATATAAAAAATCAGCTACTTGTATAAGGATAAGAAGACATTAAATCGTTAATGACTGTGAATTTCATACGCGAAAATGGCAGTTTTGATTTCATTAATGTCAAAACTTCGTTAGCGCCCGTTTGAGATTTTAGCTTTTGTTGTCTGTAGATGATTTTTTTGGAGGAGGTTATGATTTTTTATTTTTTTTAGAACTAATTTTTTAAAAGAATTTTTACTCCATAAGTGCTTTTAAAGCAAATTATATTGAATTAGTTTCCTCTAAAAGTTCTTATTGACAAAAACACTTTCACAAAATTAGCTAAACGGGTTCAAAAGCTACTTTTGAATCTCAGAAGATCATTTTGGTTTTTCAAAAGTCATACCAAGCGAGCCCAAGATCATGTATCTATGAGTTACGTCTGAAATAAATTTGATAGGCATGCAGTTTAAACTCGAAAGTTTTTATGATTAGTTGATTTATAAAGTTTCGCTCCAAAATTTTTCATGATAAGTTGATTTATCAAGTAAAATTTTACTAGGTGATCATAATGTTGTAATTACTGTGACTATCAAATAAAACGATGTTAAACCACATGTCAAATCGTAAGACACACCACTTGAAAATTCTCACACTTTTTCGTGTCAATCGATTATACACATCAACACTGAAACATTGCTTTTATTAGGCTTTTAGTTCAAAACAAACAAATGGATAGAAATTTTGTCCCAAGAGAATAATCCAAAATGTCCATATGACATCTCTCTCGAATGGTCTCACGAGTTGTTTGTTGGCACCTTGTTAGGAGCATTAATAGCATTAATAATGCCTCCAAAATTGGTTTCCAATTTCCCGTAAATTTCGAACATGCAATTCTCGAGCGCCAAACTGGTTACAGCAAGCGTTTGGCGTATGAAAGTTAGCACTATACTGAGTGACAAACGCGTTGGTCACATGTGGGCAATTTTGGCTGTTTCACTGTCCACCAAAATACAACAAAGTGAGGATACTCTCAAGTTGATCTATTTCAATAAAAAAGGATTTGAATTTCAACATCTTCCAATAAATATAAATCTACTACGTAACGCAACCAAATAATTTTATGTGAAGTGATGGATTCGAATCAGATTGGATCGATCGAGTATGGTTAGTAGTTTTAACTTGAATTGTGCCAAATTGATTAGTTTAGTCTAATTTCAATCTAGGATGGATGGTTCTAGGAAAAAATACTTATGAACGTATTGTTACAGCAAGCGTTTGGCGTATGAAAGTTAGCACTATACTGAGTGACAAACGCGTTGGTCACATGTGGGCAATTTTGGCTGTTTCACTGTCCACCAAAATACAACAAAGTGAGGATACTCTCAAGTTGATCTATTTCAATAAAAAAGGATTTGAATTTCAACATCTTCCAATAAATATAAATCTACTACGTAACGCAACCAAATAATTTTATGTGAAGTGATGGATTCGAATCAGATTGGATCGATCGAGTATGGTTAGTAGTTTTAACTTGAATTGTGCCAAATTGATTAGTTTAGTCTAATTTCAATCTAGGATGGATGGTTCTAGGAAAAAATACTTATGAACGTATTGATTGTATTAAATTAAATAAATTTGGGCATGATTAAAGAAAATAAACTTGCGTTAGCAATACATTTATCCACTTTTATCTTACGTTATTGTCAAATTGTTGTCTTGTGTTTGGCTTAGATAAATATAAGGGTACGTTTAATGGCAAGCAAGAAATTTGCATGGAAAGAAAATAAATTCTGGGCAATTCAATTGCCTAGAACTTATTTGCATGTAAATTATCAATTAAATGTGTTTGATTGATTTAATTTTCAACCTAAAAAATATTATACCTGTTTGATTTTTATTGTTAGATGGATGAGACATAGAAAGAGAGTGTGAATTTCTTGAAAAATAAAATCATAATCCCCCTAAAAAAAAATATTTTCTCTGATTTTGAGGAAAATATGGTCACTTGATCAGAAGTAGAAAAATGTTTTTCATGGAAAAAATGTCAGTCAAGCAGTACAAAAGTAAGAATTTGAGTGGAAAAAAGACATTTTTCATAGAAAACATTTACAATCAAATGCACCCTAATATTTTTAATATGTGGTTGAAAAGTTGTAATTTTATAAAATATATAATTAAATTAATTGTTGATTTTGACTTAAAGTGTAATCTAAATTTTTAGTTGAATTAAACGTGAAATTAGTATAGTAGAGTATTTTTTTTTTTTTTTTTAGAATATATACATATAAACACAGACCAATGAATACAAAAAATATTAGTGTATAAAGTCTTCTAATATATAACAAGAGTAGCATTATCAAAATCCAAGCCACTTTACAAAAAGGTACATGTACACTATTTTTAAAATTCAAGACACTTTATTCCCCAACTCTAGCCTCTAAATTTATGAAGTCTAGTTTTTATAGTTGATCAATTCTATAATATACTATCGAAATATAATTTATTAATATGAAGTTGAAACTTTATCGCAATCCATCGCCTTGCCGTCCAACTTTTTTGTCACTCGCGAATCACGATCACGATGACGATGACGATGGTTGACAAATGATGTAGATCGCTAGAGAATTGAAAATGGGGTAGGCTAAAATAATATTGATTTTAGCAATAAAATAACAAACCCAAGCCCTAATTGTGGTGGTGTCTCCTCATAAACCTATCAATTAGGCTACGTGTTAATTTTGTAGCAAATCCATTCCAATTTTTCACATAGACAACACCCTTTTTAATATTCTATTTGTCAATTATATGACCTAAATTAGTGGTTAATCCACTTTAATCTATGTCAAGAATGGTAAAAAGTGTCATACATACGTGGTTACATATATTTCCCCCGTTTGGCCCCATTAAATATCATCAAATTAAATTAATTTTTTCTCTTTCTTATTTCCAACTTTACAATTTTAAATAAAATAATATTACACGTAAATCGAAAACTTTTCATTATTTTACAACCATCCATTTAAAAAAAAAAACACTATTCCCCTATTCGTAATAGTAAATTGAGTGTGCAATTATATACATTCATATTATTTATGTGTAATTTTTTTCTACAGATCATATTATTTTTAAATTGTCACCTATTGAGAACATGTCCATTCATTGACGCGAAGACGTGAACATATTCATATTTTGCAGTATTTATTTTGATGAAAAGAAGAAAAAAAATGATTAAACAAATTTAATTCAAAATCCAAGGTCCAACCACTTTAGTGATTCCCTCCTCATAAACCTATCAATTCTCGGTCTTGTTCCACGAGGCTACGTGGAAAATTTGTAGCAAACCTATTTCTCCATACCAACCTTTTTCTAATTTATTTATCAATTGACCTAATTAAATGGATGGTCCACTTTACTTGGTGCCATCAATAATGCAAATTTCTCACGTAATTGCATTTCTAAAAAAAAGGTTAAACCCTAACTTTAAGGGCCTCCCACCACCCCTACCCTGGAGCATCGTGAGGGAGGTAAATCGCAGGTTATGCCTCCAAGGGTATAGGGTGGAAGGTTGCTTGTACACTTGCACTTACCCAAGAGCCAAATCCATATTTCAGGATTCGAACCCTTGACGCAGCAGTCTCAAGCAAATATGGATTTCTCCACCCTCCCCTTTTACCACTTGGAGATATGTCTGGGGGCACGTAATTGCATTTCTAATTGAACATCCACCAAGGTCAAAAGGACACATTTTCATTTTCCCATAAGTTGTTGGAAAACTTTACATCAATCACTTTCTAAAAGAACAAAAGGGAAAGGACAATGAATTAAATTTTTTAAACTTGCCAAAACATAAACTAAATATGCTCAATTTATTTTGACGATTGGATCTGTCTATGGATGGAAAAGGGGTGCTTCGGATTGGGAGTAACCACTAGTGAAAGGGTAAAAATAGGGGTTAGTTCTATACAAAATACCTATTTTCCTAATTTCTGAAAACTATTATATTTCGAATGCGTTTAAAATAACATTTAAATTGATAAAAGTATAATCTGACTACCGTTTATTGGTTGACACTTTCGAATATTAGTTATGGGCCTGTTTGGAAGCGATTTTTCCCTCAAAAAATTGATTTTTTGATCGTTATTTTACTATTCCAACCGTCATATTTGACTTCTTCTCTCACAGGTGGACCCTACTTTTCTCCTAACTGTTAAGAAATCAAATCTTAAAATAACTCTCAAACAGGCTCTATTTATAGAAGGATTAAATAAAATAAAAGTAGTTTATTTATTGACTTGGATGTGACATTCGTGCACTAAAAGCAATTGCTTTTGATTAAAAATCACCCTTTTTATCCAATAGGATTGATAAGAGCATGAACCAATGTGCACTTGCCAAGTCTTCGAATCGTTTTCACATGGAAACTGTTGACCGATTGGTCACTCACACCAAAATTTTGTTTTTGTTGTTTGTTTTTCTTTTTTACCCTATCCACGCGTTAGTGAATGGCAATTTGGACCCAACTTTCACCTTTTAAAATAATTTCTAGTATTTATTTCACATTATCTTTGCTAATGGATTAAATCCACTCCCACTCTAAACACCTTTAATGAAATTATTGAATATTTTTTCCATTTTATATATCATACCACTTAAATAATGGCAATTACAATCTGATCGTCTTACTATAGAAATGCAAGATGTTCATAACGTGTACAACATATGAACCAAATTCGATTGAATTTGACATTTTATTAGAAAGGTTTGCACGTCTTCTTTAGTGCCCTTAGTAAATATATCACTTTCATTAAATTTTTAATGTTATTTTATTGTTGAATTATCTAATTGATCGTCCTTTAATAACTAAGTTTTCTTCTAATTCAATTAAATCACCATGAGTGAGATTTTGACTAACATAATTGACAGATGCAAGACGTGTTCTAAATAAACTTGAGAAATATATGACATACTCCTTTTGTATGCAAATCTCTCTCTCTCTCTCTCTCTTATTCACTTGTATTGTACATGAGTCTTGTTCTATAACCTAGATTCTATTGAAATATTAAGAGCCCATTTGGTTTGGATTAAAATTCGATTTTAATTTAAGTCAGAGTCAAACAATCAATATTAACCACATCTTTTATGGGTCCCACAACTTTTCAATCACACATTTCAAAAACTTCTATCACCATTTACTAAAAAATTTAATTTTAATTCCCACAAAACACCCTCTAAGTAATAAAAAGATGATAAATCGTGTACATTTGTATTGTTTGATTTTGTACTTATATACATAGATACAAGATGAACATGGATAAAAATCATAATTTTTTTAATTTCTTTTTGACTCACTAAAGCTTGCTTGCAGACCTGCAATTAAAAGGTTGAGGCCTTGATGGATTTTTAGGCTTTAAGGAGTCTTTTTGAAAAGGTGACGAATACTTGGAACTTACGGATAATTCAAAAATTCAAATTTCTATAAAATCAATCCGATAAACTCTGTGTTCGAACATAAATTCATAAATAATTTGTAAATTCAGTTAAAGTCAAATATTAATTTTAATCATACATCATAATTTACTACTCATATTATTTAGTGGAACTCACTACTATTCTTTTTATGGTTCCTCTTTATAAGTCATTTATGATTTTGTGTATTAAAAGTCAAAGTCAGAGATGGATCTTTAATTCAAAAAGTTACACCAAATTATACCAAAAAAATCTAAGTTGGGGCGGATCACGTCTTATCTTGTTTCTGATGGGATGTGTCTAATTTGAGTTGCTAATTTTGTTATTAGATCTATGTGTGTGCCTGTTTATTTATGGTCCGTTTGATTTTAAAGGCGAAATTTGGGTGGAAAGAAAACAAATTTTAAGAAATTGAATTATCTAGAATTTGTTTTCATGAGAATTGTCAATTAATAGTGTTTGATTGGTATAATTTTTTACTTGAAAAATGTTGAAATTAAAGTATCCTTTGGTATTCGTTTGGCTTTATTTTTCATGAAAATTGTTAATTTAAGAGATATTTTCTTTTATAATTGTTTATAGAATTTGTTTCCATTGTCAAAATATATATATATCAAGCAAAACCAAAAATCATCTATATTTTAGTATTCGTTTGGCTTTATTTTACATTGAAATTGTCAATTTAAGAGATATTCGTTTTTACAATTATTTCTAGAATTTGTTTTCATTGGTTTAAAAAAAAAAAAAGCTGGAAAAATGCAATTCACTAAAAAGCTAGAAAAGCCATCATGTGAGACAAGGAGTGGAAAATGAATTTCATGCCAATTTTTTGCCATCAAACACACTTAAAAGATGGAAAATGGAATTTATTTTTCCAAATTTCATAGAAAAGGAGGGCTATCAAATGGTGCCTTAGATCAAAGTACCAAGTCATTAGGAAATTAATTCAACCATCGAATCACTACTTTAATCGAAAACGATTAAAAAATAATAATTACCTTTTAGTGTTAACAATATTGAGGGAAACTTAAAAAAAAAACAATAAATCTTATTTACCGGAACACACGATTGCAATTCTTGAGAACAAATTGGATCTCTTATCGAGTTTGTTAATTGGTTTAAAAAGTCATCAAGAAATTAATTCAACCACGCTTCTTCCTTTTTTTTTTTTTTTTTTTTTTTTTTTTAACCACCTGCGATGAAGATTTCGGGGACCAATTTTTACGCTAATCTGGTTGACCCTTAGTACAACCCTACAAAGTAACTGAACGATATTTGAATAAAATTGACACGCTGATAGTTGCCCAATTTATCTGGGAACAGGGTTCAGTAGCTCATGCTGGATAGTTGGGTTATGAGCTCTCTAAACGAGCATTCTCTGATACATATACCTTAATTCCATTTGAAAATATGTTCAGTCACAAAACGAAGACTAAATGATACAACATTTAGGTGAATATGTGAATATGCTTTTCATTCATCATTGACGTTAACGGAGGTACTATCGGATTTAATTGAGCTAGCTTTATGAGGGGACTTAGTGCACTAGGTGGTTGTTCACACCTATTGGAACGAGAACTCATAGCGAGGAAGGAACCGATTTTAAGATGAAAAAAAGCCTCCTCCCAGTAATCGTACAAAATTATAATTAGGATCCGTTTGATTGCAAAAATAAAATTTGGGTGGCAAGAAAACTAATTTAAGGTAATTGAATTGCCTAAAATTTGTTTTACTGATAATTGTTAATTATTGTATTTGATTAGTATAATTTTCCACATGAAAAATATTGAAATAAAAGTATTTTTTAGTGTTCGTTTGACTTTATTTTACATGAAAATTGTCAATTAAAGATGTAGAATTTGTTTCCATTGAAAGGAAAAAAAAATCATTTATTTTTTGGTATTCGTTTGATTTCGTTTTACATAAAAATTGTCAATTAAAAGAAAATATTTTTTTACAATTAGAGATAAAATTTATTTTCATTGCTAAAAAAAAAAAAAAAAAAAAAGAAAACGTCAACAGTAACCGGGAAAATGGTGGGAAATAATTTTCCAACAAAAGCAAGAAAAATGCAATTTCCAAAAAATCCAAGAATTCCTATTCCATGAAAAATAAATCTCAATCAAACACACCAAAATTGGAAAATGTCATCCAAATTCCATTTTCCATGGAAATAAATTGCCAATCAAACGATGCCTAAAATCTATTCAAATTGCCATTAAACTTATCAAAATCTTATCTCGTCGATCATTACATCATTTGCTGTTTTAAATTTTATTGACACTTTTTGAGATATTATTATGTTTATCTTTTCAATTGCAATATTTTGATAGGTTCAATGACATTCGTATAACTTTTAGAGTTGTCCCATGTCAATTGAGAAACATATAATACTAAAGTTTATCGGCATCTCATAGACCTTATACGGTTCGACAGCATTTTTAGAAAGTTGAGTAACAGTAGAAATATTCATCCCCAACTTGCACGCTAAGCTATGTTACAAAAGGGAATCAAAGTCTACATGATTAGAATAGTTTGAAATAGAACAAGGAGAACGTACTTGGCCCATCTAGAAATTGGGTTTCCATTAACAAAACATAATCATTTATCAGCATGTCAATCAGTTAATTAAAAAGCGAATCAAAGTTTACACTTCATATTAATTAAACCAAACTACACAACCCCCATCAAAAAACTAAACAACAATTTTCGCAAAGGGCACATATGCTGAGTTGCTCAAGTAGGTCTGGTCCAGTAGGGGAGAGAAGAAACCCAACTCAACGACCAAAAGACATTGACAACATAACTAATGAACAATTCCCCATGTATAGGGAAATTGGTTCACAGGCAGCACCTGTATGGTGCTTTGTGTGTGTGTTTGTGTGTTTGGACAATGACGAATGAAAAACTACCAAGTGAAAGTCTGTAAGAAATCTATGAACCATTTTCTGTACACATAGCATCACCCTTAATTCAAAACAAATGACAACACTCCATAGACAAGTGTCTTCTTCACCTCCTCATCCCACCCATCCCCACATCAAAAACCAGAGTACTTTCCAAGGATAAATCACAAATATACTTAACTGCATCATCTCACAACCCATTTGTTACCAAGAAGAGAAAATGAAAGTAAATTCCAATAGACTGCAGAATTTAGGGTTCAAATTTATCATACAATTTTTTTTTTCCCCATAAACTATTGAATTATTAATCCATTGAAAAAGGGAAAAGAGTCGAGCAGGAGCGATTAGAGATTATTTTTGTTACAATGATTTGAGTCAGAGTGATTGAACTCTCACTGGTCCTTACAAATTTGTTGAGCAATTTATTGTTATTTTTGATCAAGAGAATTTGATTGGGCAGTCTGTCAATTTTATTGTTATTAATTTTCTATTTTTAATGTTGTAATGACAGTCGCACCATAGACCAAGAGAAGGCCCTTTCGAGCTCAACGACATTTTTGCCATAATCAATGCTGTTCCGGCCATAGCCCTCCTCTCCTATGGTTTTTTCCACAAAGGCCTTGTTCCTGGCCTATGCTTCGGAGCTGTAAGTATGTTTCGTTATGTGATTCTAATGCTTTTCTTTCAGATTTTTTTTCAATATATTATTGAATTTTTTGCAGGGTCTTGGAATTACGGTTTTTGGCATGGCCTACATGTTCGTCCATGATGGTCTTGTTCACAAGAGATTCCCCGTGGGGCCCATTGCAAATGTACCATATTTTAGAAGCGTTGCTGCAGCTCATCAAGTATGATAGTGTGGACTTGTACATTATAATTTAATCAATCACAATTAATTAGTATATAACTCATATTATCTGTTTAATTTTCTTAATTATTATTATTATTTTTTATAACAGAATCTAACCGCCACGGTCTAATTTGATTTTGATGTCTGCCATTTCAGCTTCATCACTCGGACAAATTCGAAGGTGTCCCATATGGACTGTTCCTAGGACCTAAGGTAGTCCAAAATCCCTCTATATCTGCATAACTATAGATAGACACCACTTCAAATTTCTATTATTTGTTTGAATAATAGAGTAATCTTATATCGGCGGTGTTCAATCATAATTTACGTATAATGAAGGTTCCACTGTCTAACTGCAATGGAACGTAACTGTAGGTGGGATCCATAGTCACAACAACAATTTAGGTGGTGTTTGGTGACAACATCGTACAGATATTGAACAATTATACTGCCACTGACTATAGTTAAATAACGCTGCTTATATATATAGCATTATTCTATAAACAAAATTGTTCCTTTCGCCATTTCTGCTTTTTAGGTCAACCTTGTTGAAGAGTGGTCCGAACCCTTTGTCATAATATTCAAGTGATGTAGTAATAACATGACTTTTTCGAGATTTGTATAATTTATTTATGGCAAAAATCAATCATTCTTGTTGGTGTGAATGTAGGAAATTGAAGAAGTTGGAGGGCTTGAAGAATTGGAAAAAGAAACGAGCAGAAGAAATAAATTTTCTAAGAATTCATGATGTTTTGTGGGACACATGTTGAAAAATTATTAGAATGAAGAAAATTAGCGTGAAATTAATGAAATTGTTTTGATTTAATCTTCTTCTTGTGAAACGAAAAATTGATATAAAAAATCAGCTACTTGCATAAGGACAAAAATACATTAAATCGTTAATGACTGTGGATTTCATACGCGAAAATGGCAGTTTTGATTTCATTAATGTCAAAACTTCGTTAGCGCCCGTTTGAGATTTTAGCTTTTGTTGTCTGTAGATGATTTTTTTGGAGGAAGTTATGTTTTATTTTATTTTTTTGAAAACTAATTTTTTAAAAGCATTTTTAACTCCATAAGTGCCTTTAAAGGAAATTATATTGAATTAGTTTCCTCTAAAAGTTCTTATTGACAAAAACACTTTCACAAAATTAGCTAAACGGGTTCAAAAGCTACTTTCGAATCTCAGAAGATCATTTTGACTTTTCAAAAGTCATACCAAGCGAGCCGAAGATCATGTATTCTGAGAGTTACGTTGGAAATAAATTTGATAGGCATGCAGTTTAAACTCGAATTTTTTTATGATTAGTTGATTTATAAAGTTTCACTCCAAAATTTTTCATGATAAGTTGATTTATCAAGTAAAATTTTACTACGTCATCGTATTGTTGTAAGTACTGTGACTATCAAATAAAACGATGTTAAACCACATGTCAAATCGTAAGACACACGACTTGAAAATTCTCACACTTTTTCGTGTCAATCGATTATACACATCAACACTGAAACATTGCTTTTATTAGGCTTTTAGTTCAACACAAACAAATTAATAGAAATTTTGTCCCAAGAGAATAATCCAAAATGTCCATATGACATCTCTCTCGAGTGGTCTCACGAGTTGTTTGTTGGCACTTTGTTAGGAGCATTATTAGCATTAATAGTGCGTCCAAAATTGGTTTCCAATTTCCCGTAAATTTCGAACATGCAATTCTCGGGAGCCAAACTGGTTACAGCAAGCGTTTGGCGTATGAAAGTTAGCACTATACTGAGTGACAAACGCGATGGTCACATGTGGGCAATTTTGGCTGTTTCACTGTCCACCAAAATACAACAAAGTGAGGATACTCTCAAGTTGATCTATTTCAATAAAAAAGGATTTGAATTTCAACATCTTCCAATAAATATAAATCTACTACGTAACGTAACCAAATAATTTTTTGTGTAGTGATGGATTCGAATCAGATTGGATCGATCGAGTATGGTTAGTAGTTTTAACTTGAATTGTGCCAAATTGATTAGTTTAGTCTAATTTCAATCTAGGATGGATGGTTCTAGGAAAAAATACTTATGAACGTATTGATTGTATTAAATTAAATAAATTTGGGCATGATTAAAGAAAATAAACTTGCGTTAGCAATACATTTATCCACTTTTATCTTACATTATTGTCAAATTGTTGTCTTGTGTTTGGCTTAGATAAATATAAGGGTACGTTTAATTGCAAGCAAAAAATTTGCATGGAAAGAAAATAAATTCTGAGAAATTCAATTGCCTAGAACTTATTTGCATGTAAATTATCAATTAAATGTGTTTAATTGATTTAATTTTCGACCTAAAAAATATTATACATGTTTGATTTTTATTGTTAGATGGATGAGAGATAGAAAGAGAGAGTGAATTCCTTGAAAAATAAAATCATAATCCCCCTAAAAAAAATATTTTTCCTGATTTTGAGAAAATAAAATCATAATCCCCCTAAAAAAAATATTTTTCCTGATTTTGAGAAAAATATGGTCACGTGATCAGAAGTAGAAAAATGTTTTCCATGGAAAAAATGTCAGTCAAGCAGTACAGAAGTAGGAATTTGAGTGGAAAAAAGACATTTTTCATAGAAAACATTTACAATTAAACGAACCCTAATATTTTTAATATGTGGTTGAAAAGTTGTAAATTTTATAAAATATATAATTAAATTAATTGTTGATTTTGATTTAAATTGTAATCTAAATTTTTAGTTGAATTAAACATGAAATTAGTATAGTAGAGTATATATATTTTTTCAGAATATATATACATATAAACACAGACCAATGAATACAAAAAATATTTGTGTATAAAGTCTTCTAATATGTAACAAGAGTAGCATTATCAAAATCCAAGCCACTTTACAAAAAGGTGCATATACACTATTTTTAAAATTCAAGACACTTTATTCCCTAACTCTAGCCTCTAAATTTATGAAGTCTCGTTTTTATAGTTGATCAATTCTATAATATACTATCGAAATATAATTTATTAATATGAAGTTGAAACTTTATCGCAATCCATCGCCTTGCCGTCCAACTTTTTTGTCACTCGGGAATCACGGTCATGATGACGATGACGATGGTTGACAAATGATGTAGATCGCTAGAGAATTGAAAATGGGGTAGGCTAAAATAATATTGATTTTAGCAATAAAATAACAAACCCAAGCCCTAATTGTGGTGGTGTCTCCTCATAAACCTATCAATTAGGCTACGTGTTAATTTTGTAGCAAATCCACTCCAATTTTTCACATAGACAACACCCTTTTTAATATTCTATTTGTCAATTATATGACCTAAATT